CTAAATACTTTGTACGTACCAGTCCTGTTATCAAAATACGGATGATGACGATACGTAGATTTTGAACAGATTACGTATATGGATTATTGTTATAGTTGCCCGGGTAACTTATATTTTGAGAACATAACGTTCACTAACAAAAAATTCACCACAATCATTCTGAGATAACTTTAGAAACAGTCCAAAAAAAAGTACGCACTAAACCGGAAATGTTTAGTTAAAGGTTAATATCGAGTTATATTCAAATAAACTTTATTACGTACGTACGTACTAACATTTCAATTAATGAATTAAGGGGTTTCAGAATTAAAAAAAACGTGTTTTGGAAATAAATGGGAGTTTAAAAAATCTTATTTGTGTATCAAAATTTTGAAATCGGAAAACGAAATGGGAGTGTTTAGAGACTCCCATTTAACGAAATAAATAAACATTTTCAACGACAAAAATCATTACAGCATTAGGGGGTTTCAATTCAAATAAAGTAAGTGACGTATTTCCGTATTTACGTCAAAATATGTGATGCATAAATCCTATTTTTTTTAACGTATAAACTTATTTACTTAATCGTTTACATAATCGTACATAATCGTTTACGGGTAGAAATTTTATTAACGTGTTCTCTATTTAATTCACTGAGTCTGAATTTTTAAAAATATTTTAAACATTTATTTTCAATATTAGATTAGCGTGAATTTTTAAAAATATTTTAAACTCCATTTATTTTCAATATTAGATTAGCGTTATTTGTAGGTCTGTGATCGAAGATATTAGAATGCATAGTGGATCCGGGTTTAATAGCAAATACGTTCTTTTTACATTCTATGTATCTTTTATAATCTGGCATAAAGATGTTTTTTTTTTAAATACATAATATACATTTATCGATTCATATAAACATTTTCAATCTTTCCTAGCAGTATTTATAAAATAGATCCTCGATAATACTAACAGAGATTACTACGTTATCCATTCTTGAGTTTTGATTGGTTAAATTTTCTAACTATATAGTCAGATTTGCACTTTACCTTTGCTAGAATTATTTGCACCTGTAACACAAATCAAAGAGGGGAAATTATAACAAACATTAATATGTGTATGTAGTTAAAAATTCGATTAGTCACCATTAATATTAAAAAAAAAAAATTTCAAGATTAGTGGTTAGAGTAGTGGGTAAAGACTAAAGTTGTTTTTTATACATATGCACCAACACTTTTACCAATCTATTCCGTATAAGGTTCGTGTTACAGGGGCAAATAAGTACACAGTAGCGATAGGTAATGTTTAAAAGTTTCGTTACTAGTAAGTTTTGGGTTTTTGGTCGAACCAAAAAAATCGGGTTTGCTAATAATACCATGCCATGATCGATCGACGATTGATCAGATAATATATTAATTTATTTTAATAAAAATCAAAACTTTTGCATGTGAATAATTTGACCAATTGTGATCCGGCCCCTTTTGAATGCTCTGTACATATGATAGAAAAGTTATTTCCAGTAGCATTGTCTTTGAATTTCCACTAGCTATACCTATCGATATAAGGTAGGAGAGTCATTGTTTAAATAAAAAAAATTAATATTATTCTAATAACATTTGTATTTAGGTTTGTTTATGTTTCGTCTTACGGCATAATAAAGCATAATAAATATGGACTTTCGTAACTGATTGGTCTAAGTATCATTTTTATAAGCGATAATACTTTATTTAACTTTATTCAAGTGTAGGCATATACTTCTTTCGATAGATTCCTTTCATAAAACTATGTATGTACGTACTTCTTTGTATACATCACGAGCAAGAATGTTTTTAGTATATCTCTGCTGACCCTTATCGATACCCGACACAATACAACTTGGTTAACAAATAACTTACGAGGTACTAAAGGCAATGATGTTGAAATGACCCAAAAACGGTTATATCAGCGGCGTAGAATAGATATTTAATCGAGTGTATTATCATATTAATATTATCATATGATATATCATATTATATATATATCAAATTTTTATATTAAATGTTTATCTCTCTTTTTATTTAATATCAGTTAACAGATAATCGTGATTATACCTTTACGTACGTAGCAAAAATTTCTTAATATCGATATACTTGGTATTTTATTTAAAGCAAAACGCATAACATTAATTCATTACCATTACCAATAAGATGGATCTCTCAAATGATCGACTCATTTGCCGTTTGATTATTCTTGATAGTTACACATGCAAAATTTTTCCTTATTTAAATGACAATATGAAAAGACAATACATTAATAATAAACACAATTAAAAGGAAATAATATGTACTTCAAAGATGAATTACGTTACTTATACTTGAAGGATTGTAAGAGATAAATAATAATTGTTCAGCAGATTGCAGTGTAAATGTTAATTATGTAAATCATATAAAAACTAATAATTGCCATTATATTCTGAAAAAAAAAATAAATTACAATCCTCTTTCTTAATGAAGAAATTCGATAAAAGGAGCCGATTTTTTTGCAAGACTTTTACGACAATAAACGTTTTATAAACGTTCCTGTTTGATCTGTCAATTGTCACCTCAAAAATAAATCGAGAGACTTCGAAAGCTCTTAATTTTTTTGACGCCGCAGAAAAATTAGGTCCTCCTTTTTCTCTATTCCCTTCCTTTTTGTTACGTAAAACCTCTTTCTCGTTTACGCTTTTCGGCAAAAACTTTCCTCTCACAAATAATTTTAATCTCCTCTGAATTATATACCTCTCAAAAAAAATGTCATCCATCAAAGTAACTTCTTCACAGTCACCAATTTCTCGTTCCTCCCGTATAGGCATAATTGGGGCTGGTCCAGCGGGTATTTCAGTCGCTCACTTTTTACGTAGAGAAGGCTACTCAAATGTGACGCTACTGGAATCCGCTCCCCATATAGCGGGAAAAAGTTCTACTTTTTACCATGATAATCGTGGTTATGATGTTGGTGCTTTGATGGTCGGTAACAACTATTCACTAGTCAAATCCATTGTGGCTGAACTTGATTGTCCTCTCGAAAAATTTTATTGTGGTGCTTTGGACATTGATGCAAATAAACTTATGATTGAAAATGTTTGTCATATTGGAATTATTTCCGATTCTTTCACAAAAAACATGTCTCATTATTTAGAGGAAAAAAAGTTTTTTGAAAATGTTACCTTACCTGGTCATGGCGATCTAAGCGAAAGTCATCTATATGCGCCCATTACTCAATACTTGAAAGATCGAGTATCTGAAAGATGCTTGGGCTTTGGCATATACCTCTGCTGGTTATGGTTATATTCAAGATGATATACCTGCTGCATATTTCTTAAAATTTATTCAAAATTCGGAAAATACTATTTGGCGTTTTAAGAATGGTTTTCAGGATTTCTGGATCAAAATGGCTAAGGTATGTACTTTTTTTTTTTTAAAAAAAAAAAATATATTTAAATTATCTGGTTTTTTTTCATCATGTGACACATCCATTATATTGGTTTATATAGGATCTTAATGTTATGCGTTTTGCTTTAAA